TTTTTTTTTTCGCATAACTCTGTTCATTCTCTTCGAATTTTATTTCAAAAATGACTTCAAAGAGCGGAATTTTCAGCTACAGATTAATGTTCAACCTTCTGTACTATTTATCACATTTTTTGATAGTTTAAAAGTAGGTATCATACTTTTTGAAGTTATGTCTGCTCCAGCAAATTTTTACTTTTTTACTGTTGTGATTATTAGTTTCTTTAAACAATCTAATCTCATGAAACTGAAGTATATTTGTTGGCATTGTACTAAAAATACTGTTTAGAAACGTTGGCACAGTCATAAAACCGTAGAAGGTTTTTTAGTTTTATTTTGGTTTTTATAACTTTTAATCCTTGAGAATTTTAGCCTAAAATCTCTTTTACTTTATGAAACAGAAAATTTCAGACAAAATTTTGTCAGAAAAGCTAACGTTTTTTAATGCAGTTTATCTTCAAAATATTTTCAATAGATTTAAACCGTTTTCATGAAAATTTTTCTGCTATTTATGCACTTTCGTACAGAAAACATTAATTCTTACATAAATTTAAAAGTTGCTAATTTCCTTTGAAAACTGACAAAGTTAAAAAGCAGTCAAAAATGCCTTAGTCAATCAAATTTATAAATACCCACATATTGATGAGAAGTTTGTTGCTCCAGAAACTTTTTTTTTGATTTTATCACTTCAGAACTACAGTCTACGTGATAGTATAAGATGAAAAAAACATCCACTTTCAAAATTGAGCATTTGATATGAAATGAGTCAGAGTTGGGAACTTTTGTAAAAAAAAACAATACTTGTTAAAACATTTCTCATACTTATCTTTCTCTCTTAGTTCGTTTTTGATTAGTGCAAGATTGAAGAAACAAACAAGTGAAGAAACTTCCAGTTAGTGGAAACACAAATACAGCCTTAAATGTTGCTTCATTGTTGTTCAAATTTCCAGTTTAGTAACATTTTGACATAAACATTCATATTTAACCTTTTTTTCACGCTTTTTTTTTTACAGCAGAGTTGTTTTAAAGCAGGACTATTTTTTGTTGAAGATTTTGCAGTATACATTTTTTTAGCAATCAAATTCTTTAAGATGTGCAAAAATTTTATCAAAAAAAAATTTTTTAAGTTTTTCAGCCAATAAGCTTAAGTTTTTATGACAGTTTATTCAGTACTTTCTAAGTATTCCTTTTTTTATCTTCAATAAATAAATTTTTTTAGCGTTACAATATTTTACAGGATTTTTGGTCTTTGCAATAACTATGCATACGTCATAATGCTCAGTGCTGCTCAGGATATTTTGGATGAACAAGAGGATAATGATGAATCTTCTGACAAAACTGATAACAACTGTGCTGTTAGTTTTAAATTGCTGATATAATCATAAGTTACCAAAAAATCTTGTCGTTTTTTTTTCCAAATTAAAATTACTTTTTAGCGAGTAAATTTAAGGGTAATTTTACTGAAAGGCCGTGTTCGAAGGTGTCTACTGGCGCTGTTCTTTTAGCAGATATATTACCAACGTTACTTGTCAAAATGACATTTCCGCTATTTATGCAACGAATTCCATTCGGGTTTAAGAATTTTTTTTCTTATTATGTTGATTATATTGTTTACGCTTCTCAGTAATTTTATAGTTAAGCTTCTTTTACCTGACTGCTGTAACTGTCTGTTTATCCTTTTCTTTTGCAGTGCACGACACGTTTTTATATGCTTTATGCAAGCTGCAAGTTTTCTAATCGTCGCATTTTCAGCTTCTATTTCGATGTCATTAATTGGTAGGTGTATAATTTTAAACAAAAAAATAGAGAGTAGATTTGTTAACTGCACAATTTCAAATAAAAAACTTTTTAAAACAAAACTTTACAAGATTTTTGCAATCTAATATATAGAAGGATTTTGTTTTGTAGGCGTAGTAGTTGCAAGTATTGGTTGTGGAATTGGTGAAATCACCTATCTTTCGTTGACACCGTACTTTGGCAGGTCGCAGCATTACATTTGCCATTGTCGGCTTCACTGATTTGACGTTCTGGGTACAACAAGTAGCGCTTTAGATGCTAATGCACTATCGCTTGTGAAACTTCTACTATTCAGGAATACCATATCAACCTGGTCATCTGGAACTGGCGGTGCTGGTGTTATTGGAGCTTTAGCTTATGCTGGTCTTACCGATGAACATTTAGGCAACCTGTCACCAAAAACTACACTTCTGGTGATGCTGATAATACCAGCGATATTTTTTGTCAGGTTATTAGATTCACTGACCTTCACGATGGTTTACAAAGACTACCCTTATTATTGCCTCTCCTTTTTAGTTAAAGTAACTTTTGGTTTCAAAATTTAAGTAAATATCAAAAAGTCGTTTGTTTTTTTTGTTCTGTTTTAGGTGCAAAACTACGCATCAAAATGATCAAAAAAAGCTGAAATTTTGAAACTATCAAAGAAAAAAAAATTGCCAAAAAACCAAAACATTAAGAAATTGTTGTTTATTTTTACAGATAACAACTAAATTATCAATATTTGATAAAGTTTGCTTAGTAGGCAAATTACGTTTACAACACATTTAAGAAGAGCTATGGGACTTTGAAGTTAATTTTTGGTACGAGGCTATTTAGCTGTTAACTTTTTCCAAAACGTTTCGTTGTCAAAAATTTTGGTACAGCTTTGATCATTCTCAAACGCATGTCATAAGTTAAACTTTCAAAAATCGGTCAGAATTTTGATCGCTGTAGCTATTCACACACTTGAGCATGCGATAAATAATTCAGTTGTGCCTTTTTTAACAGTCGTCAGATTACTGCGTACCTAACTATTGTTATAAAATATAATGTTCAAGCAGGAGCAACTAAACTGGCAACCAGTTTTACTCCTTAAAATATGATTTATTAGAATTTTGTCAGTGTTGATCAGAAACTATCCAACTTCTGGCCTCACTAATCCCAATTAAAGCAGTAAAACTTTTCTACGATAATCTGGGCATATTTTAGAAGACTTTAACTAATGAAGCTCTTAAAAAGCTTTAAAACTTCTGTAAGAATGGGCTATTCTTAGAAAAACGGAAGTATTATGAACTGAATTTTTGCCATTATTGGCTCTAAATAAACCAAAAAAGACACATTTCAGTACAAAAAAGGTTTTTGCTAAAGTGAAAACTGCTCAAAATGACTATTTTAGAAGTCAACAGAATTTCAACTTTGATATTTTCTAATGGTTTTTTTAAATAATAGTTTTAAGTGTTTATTGCGCATTCAAATGTTCGCTGTTCAATGGTGGTCCCAGTTTCAGTTATTATTTGCTTTTGGAATTCCCATCGACGGTGTACCAAGCAAAACTGCTCAAACCTCGTTCGTGGATTGTACCGTCTAACAAGATATCGCCTACCACACCAGACTTGTCAAATCTCGAAAACAGTGAAAAAGCCGTTAATGAATTTATAAAAGTACAACTGCAAAAAACAGAACTTGATGGATACGCATCGATTGGTGAGACTAGTACAGAAGTAACTGCGGTTGACGATTCAGTGGCAGTGAAGCAACGTCATCTGTGCATGAAAGAAAAGTTTCTGCTAATTTTGGTAAGTATTACGGCGAACTAGATATTAAAAACAAGAAAAAAGCCAGTAGAGTCAAGTCTGATATTTTTTAAAGAAATTTTGTTCATGTTAGCTGTCAAGAACTATCAATTTTTGTAGCCTCTACTGAAATATATGATTCCACTGATGACAGTCTATATTGGTGAGTATCTGATCAACCAGGGAATTGTACAGTTAATCTTTTTTAATTGCTCTCACGGATGGCATTTGTCTTTGTCAAGTCAGTATCGATGGTACCAGGTGAAGTTTTGTCTAATTTTTATTACTTTCTGATCTCTTAATGTCGTTGTTTGTAAATTTAACGCGAGGTATTCGTAGGTATTATACCAAGCTGGTGTGTTTGTATCCAGATCTTCTATTAATGTTATTCGACTACCATACTTTATTATGGTTCTGCTGCCCATCTTACAGGTTTCATTTTATATACATTCACTTGAGCAATTTTCCTCATAAACAAATTTCTATTTAACAAGTTAGAATTTGTGGAAACTTTGGTTTTTTTCAGCATAGTCTGAAGACAAATCGTTAATCGTATACGATATAAAATTGCATACATCTTTTAGAACTTTTGCTGAGTATGAAATCTGGCCTTAAAATCGAAAATAAAGACAGTCAGAAATGATTTTTTTCAAGTTATGCTCATCAGAATGCAAAACTTTTCTTTTTTCAAAGCGACTAGAGTTTCGTTTGAGTGATTTAACTTTATGTTCTAGGAACTTACAGAAAATGACTACAAATGTCTTTTAAAAATAATTCTTTCAAACTGTACTTTGTGTTTTAAAAAAGATCAGATTGAAACTATTTTGGGATTCAAAGTTACAATTGTTTGAACGAGCCGGAATAGAAATTTGTAATGCATTTTAGACAAAAAATTTGCCTATCCCAAACTCGTCTCGTTTTTAAGACTAAAGCTTTTTAAGACTACTTCTTTAACAAAAAATTTCAAAAATTTTAACAACTAATTTTACACTTTTAGAGTCTTAACTGATAAAAACTACACGTTTGTGCTAGAGCTGTTATTATTTCAGATATTGAATGCAGTACTGTTTTTCCTTGATTCACTGTACTTTTTTATCCCACACATCTGGATACTATTCTTACTGATCATTTTTGAAGGACTTTTTGGTGGCTCGTCTTATGTTAACACCTTCGACCACATACATAAAAAAGTATGGTTTATTCCTTTTTGTCATCGTAAAGAAAGTAAATAATGTTTTGAATGAAGCTTGTCGTCAAACGTAACAGATATACTAAACTCTTTGGTTTTGGTGGCGTGTACAACTTCTATTCTTGATATAAGTATTAAACCTAAAAAAGTTTTTTACGGAAACTCCAGACTGGAGCTTTATTGCCTGGAAAAAATTCATATTTGTTACTAAGTCAGATAATCGCCATTTATGTGACTTGTTGTTTGTTTATACAGGTTGGGGTTTTTATTCATAGATTTAGTGGGCAGCAGGATTCTCGTGATTATAGAGGAGGAGAGGGGTGTTTTTTATTCAGTTGCAGAAGTTACTTACTTTATTTTGTTTGTGTGGGTTGGTGTTTAGTAGAGGGGCTCTTACTAAAGATATGATTTTGGAGATGTTTTTTTAATCTTTGATCTTGGGTGTTTGGGTTTATGTTTTTTTGTGGGGTGCTAGTAACTTTTGTTTATAGATTGCGTCTTTTTATAAGGGTTATGAATTTGGTTGTTAAGTGTTTGTTTGAGGGGCATGTTAGGGTAATTTAATGATCTTAGGTTTCTTTTGGTTTTGTTGTCTGTTTTGGGTCTTTGGTGGTTAAGTATGAATTTGTTGATTTTGCTTGTTGTTTTTTTATATGTAGATTTTTATGTCCCTTTAATTTTTTTATTGATTTTGTTATTGATTATTGGTGGGTTTTTTTTGGTAGGTTGAAAAGATCTTAAATATAAGGTTTTTGTTGATTATGTGGCTAAAGAAGGAGTTGAAAATTTTTTTTTGAAGTTTTTCAATGTTATTGTGAATAGGGTTTATTTGAATTGGTTGTTGATTGACAAAAGATTTGGTTATTTAGTAAACATAATTTTTGGTATTATTGGTTTAAGTATTGTGGTTGTTGTTGTATTGTTTTTGTTCTTGTTTTTTTGTCATATTAGTATAAAATAGTATGTTAGGTTTAGCAAACACCCATTAAGAAAAACTAAACAAATAAAATATGAATACCAATGTTGTTTTTTTGTCTGAATTGACGGTGTTAGTTAGTTCGTTTTCTTTTTTTCTATTAATGTATTGATGTTATATATATATATATATTTTTTGAGTTACCTGTGTTTTTTGTGATTGATTTGAGGTGCCTCAGCATGAATATGATATTATTACTCGTTTAGGAGATTAATATGGGTTACGTGGGGTGAGAAGTTTTGTTTAGCTTTTCAGTTTAAGTTGAATGGTTATTTGTGATATAATTTATAATATTAGGTCAATTTAGGTTTAACGAGCAGCAATAAAAAAAACATTTTTAGTAGAAGTGATTTGTTGATG